AGGGCTCAGTGGCTCTTTTATAATGTGGCCTATGTGACATTTTAACGAACGTGAGATCCTAATTGCCCTTCTAAGAAATCATAGCACATTATCTGGCAACAAATCGTATGTAACATGTGTAGGCGAAATGATTGGCCCTGGTAGCCACTGCGCCCTAAATCCTATCCGGGCGGTGTTTTGCCATCGAAGCCATGTAATTGCGGGGAGGGGAGGACAATGAGGTGGTAAATGCCTCGCAAGTCTGACTTGCTATGAGGTAATCTACGATCTTAAGTCAGCGGTGCTGCGTACACTCTGTAGGCCTACTGTGGATGTGACGACGCTCGCGACGGTCGAAAGGTCGTATGTGGCACAACCCTAGATGAGGGCCTCGATGTAAGCACAGATTTATTTACCACATACCAGCCACAGGCAGTAGCTAAAGGGTAATTCTGCGCTGATACATACTGCGGCTACGAGATGTTTGCCCTACATCAATTTTCGGACTAAAGCTGCGGAGGTTTGTGTCAGGGAACATATTCCAGGCTGGCAACGTTTTTTTAAGAAAATCAAAAGGCTTAAGAACGAAAATGGTTTCAAAAGGAGAACAGAAGTCCTTTATTTAAGGCCGAAAATGTGTGAACGTCAGTCACGGAAAGTGTATGCACGGGCAAAATATTTCAACGTGATTAAACTCACGGCTGTTAGGGAGAGGGAGGCCTCGAAGCTCAGTTGGCTAGAGCGTTTGCTATGCTAAATCCTTCCCTTGCTGGCGTGGATTCGGATTTCACCGAGTTTTCCACAACTGGGCCCGATGAATTATTCACATCTGCCAAAATATCCAACTAATATCAGAAAAAGCCCGCAAATTCATCAGTAGTATATTCATCGTAGGCCTTACTTGCAGACGAACGGCAGCTCGAGGGACCGAATTTCAGCCTACTCAAAACGTCCTTTGCAGACAAGGACGTTTTGGAAGCCAGGAAAAAAGCTTTCAAGAATTGTCTTATCTCGAAGGCTTTGATGGCAAGAGGCTATGCAATTCATCATTAAGGGGAATCAGTTCGGAAAACAGAAAACCGGGAGGTGCTGTCTGACATTTTAAAGTGGACTTGCGACCTTGAACTGCGCGTGGTCGAAACTCGGGCAAAGGCATTCAGATAATAGCACAAAACGAGCAAATTCGTAATTTTAGGCCACTGACGTGATGTAGTCTAACAAAATCTTCTTTAATTGGGTGACTGCCTAGAAGATAGAGGACCGACAAAGACAAGAGAGGTGACCATTTGTGACTTATCAGCCGTCGTCACCTCAACTTCAGCAACTCTGGATGACCAGAGAATTTACACAGGATTCTTTGATCAGTTAGCGTCTGAAAGTACCAAAATT